CAGAATGATGACGCCTTGGAATGACTGCCTGCGAGGTAGCAAGCAGAGCAGGGTCGGGGGAAGATTTAAATAGATAACCCAAGAGTTCTTGTGCAGACCAGTGATAGTAATATGCCAGGGTTGAAAAGTAGGGTAAACTCAACCCTTTGCATTCAAGGTCCCAACACTGATCATAATAACCACCTTTTGGAAGACAGAGACAACACTGCAAGACAGTAGGCCACAATGAGAGGTGGAGGCTCTGACAGGGATGCTGGAGGAGGCTGCGCCACCCAGAGTAGCCTCATGCAAAAGTGTTGAGTGGCCTTGAAGCCACGGGTGGGGGCTGGGAGGGAGGAGTCTGGGACAGGAACAGGAACAACAACCCAGGACCCCAGTCTAACACTGGTCAGTCCCAAGAGCCATCTCTGTGCCCTCCAAAGCGGGGAACATCCGACAGAAACCAGAATGAAGCATGGTGGAGAGACAGGGGCAGTTGAGATGGGCAGTGGTGTTGATTGTAGCATTAAGGGTGGACAGGACCGTTACATTTTAATTTCAAATCCACAGTGAATAATTTTTCGTGTATGTCCCCAATATTTCATTGTACACACTAAGGGAAAAAAAAGTATTCATTGTTGAACTGAAATTCAAATTTAACTAGGCATGCTGCATTTTTGTTTGGCTAAACCTGGCAACTGTAAATAATAATAACAGCAGTAATATTCATTGTTAGTGTTCTAGGTACGTTATTTAGTTACCTTATCTCATCTTCATAATAACCCATTGAAGAAGGTACTATTATTATTATTCTCTTTTCTCTTTTTTTTTTTGGAGACAGAGTCTTGCTCTGTCACCCAGGCTGGAGTGCAATGGCACGATCTCGGCTCACTGCAACCTCCACCTCCAGGGTTCAAGCGATCCTCCTGCCTCAGCCTCCAGAGTAGCTGCGACTACAGGTACGCACCACCACACCCAGCTAATTTTTGTATTTTTAGTAGAGACAGGTTTTCACCGTGTTGGCCAGGCTGGTCTCAAACTCCTGACCTCAAGCAATCCACCTGCCTCACTGTCTGAGATGAATGCTGAGATTACAGATGTGAGCCACTGCACCCTGCCCTGTTATTTCCTTTTTATAGACCAGGAAGCTTTACCAAAAGGGTAAGGTAACCTGCCCAAGGTCATGAGCTAGTCAGTCAGGCCTGGAATGTGAACATATGTAATTGGCCTTAAGAGCTCACCCTCTTGAGCACTGCTTCCCAACTGAGCAGTTGAGTGAAGCCCTGGCCTCTGCTCCCTCAGACCCAACAACAGAGGTATGCACTACAGCTCCCACACTGGTAAGCTCCTGGAGCTCAGAATGCATCTTTACCATGGAGACACCATGTTAGCAGATCCCAGTTGGAGCCACCAAGTGAGCTTTGGGTTTCAAAAAGTGAAAATCAGCACTCCAACAGCAAGGAAGCCTAAAGCATCCCTGGGAGCACTCTCTTCCTACATGGGTGGAAAGCAGAAGAGTGTCTTCTGCCTTAAGGGTCTGGCAAAGCAGCACAGGCCAGCACCACCAGGCATGAGCCAGGCCACATGCCATTCTGCCTGGGGACAGGGGAAAGGAAAGGATGTATGACCTCTGGGGATCCCTTCCAGTTTGAGGAGAGCATTGACTTGAATTTTTTTTTTTTTTTTTTTTTTTTTTTTTGAGGCAGAGTCTCCCTGTGTCACCCAGGCAGGAGTGCAGTGGCACGATCTCGGCTCACTGCAACCTCCGCCTCCTGGGTTCAAGCGATTCTTCTGCTTCAGCCTCCTGAGTAGCTGGGACTACAGGCAAGCACCACCATGCCCACTGATTTCTTTGTATTTTTAATAGAGACAGAGTTTCACCATACTGGCCAGGCTGGTCTTGATCTCTTGACCTCATGATCCTCCCACCTCGGCTCCCAGAGTGCTTGGATTACAGGCATGAGCCATCGCACCCAGCCAACTTAAATCTTATAAGGCAGACTTCTGATAAAAATGGCACCTCAAGCCTCAGCATGACACCTTTTAAAATCATCATGATAAGCCTTTATTAAGCACCTACTATGTACCAGACGTTGTGCTGGAATTTTCATTACCCCATCTAATGATGAGGCATGTTTAAGTATAATCCAGCAAGGCATCTATTATTTTGCAGATAACGGACCTGAGGCTCAGGGAGGTCACTCATATACTCAGCTGACACTTATTAAGCACCTATATGTGCCAGAGTCTGTCCTAGGTGCTGGGGATGTGCAGCGAACCAAACAAGATCTCTGCCTTTATGGAGCTAATGGGAGCACAGATTAAAAAACAAACAAACAAAAAAAAGTCCATCATTGTTATTCCAGGTAGCAATGCTAAGTGTGATGAAGAAAAGTAAGGCAGGATTGAGGGACAGAGAGGGACGAGGTGGAGGTATTTTGGCTAGGATGGTCAGGGAAGATATCTGGAAGAAGATGACATTTGAGCAGGGACCTGAAGAGAGGGAATGTGATGCACAGGTCTGAGGAAGAGTGCCTAACGCAGAGAGGGCAATAGCACAAAGACCTGACAGGTCAAGGTGACCAGCCCACACCCAAGATGAGGCCCATGACCTGGAGAAGGGTAGGGAAGGTGGGAAGGGTAAGAATGAGTTTGGGGGAGA